AAACGAGGATGGCAGGAAAACATCAACAACCCGATCATCCTTCCTGGTATTGTAGTTCTTTTAAAGATTTCTCACCGGTGAATGACACATGATGTAGCCCAGCGGTTAATCCAGTCCTTGCGCCAGCTCGTTAGAAGTGAGCTACGTGCATTAACTGTGTTCCGATCGCCATGATCCCTACACAGTGTTCATTGCTCCCTACTCCATGAGTGGGGGAAATCTGTTGAAGTTTACTTCACTTCGGAACATGGGCTGGAATTGGGAAACTTTTTATTCTGACAGTGTATGATTTCTATAAACATTACAGAATAGAACATGATCAATATTATCTTTCAACGTTCAATTTAAATAATTGTAATTGCACAAACTATGTAGGCTACAATTTCAATTTGTTTATTGTGAAATAACTCAAACATTTATGTTTTTTTTTTCCTGTCCTCTGATAAGTATTGTTCAGGGCTGCCTTTCCCAAAAGCTTTAATGCTTTCTTATGATACTTTTGGGAAACGCAGCCCTGTTTGAATGCACTGTCAGCAGTGAGTGAATGCTCTCTGTGATTAATTGGTTCTGATTTGCAACATTTGCGTGTGTTCAGATGAGCAGGAAAATAGTTCTATCCTACACAATTATTTACTAACTTGAATGCACTGTCAGCAGTGAGTGAATGCTCTCTGTGATTAATTGGTTCTGATTTGCAACATTTGCGTGTGTTCAGATGAGCAGGAAAATAGTTCTATCCTACACAATTACTCGCTAACAAAGGTTATTCGTCCAATTCAATGCATATTGTACGCATTATTATTATTATTATTTTTGTTAAATAAGCAAAACCACTGGTAAATAACCGATATTTTTTGTTTGAGTATCGATACTTTCGATACTCGCGTCAGTATCGATACTTCGGATCGATACGCCCATCCCTACCTACTGCAACTTTAACAGCAAATAGAACTGATTCATGAATAATTTAAGGGGAAATGTTTTTAAATTGACATTAAATGGTTAATTGAACCAAACTGTTCAAAAGAATCACTTTAAATGTAGGTATTATTTCATTCTCATACTTGAAAATAGCATTACAAAAGTTCTTCACGATGCTTGGAACCCCTCTCATTGGGTTTGTTTATTAGACATTGCCTGCCTTGTGACCTTGGAGAAACGGCACGGATACATTCATACTACAACAGCGGTTCCCAATTCCAGCCCTGGCTAAATGGTCATACCCGCTCTATTAAACGGCAATGCAGGAAAGCAGAGTTTAAGTGAAAGAAAGATAAACTTAGGGTCTCATATGAAATGTTCTGTGAATCCTTCAAACATTTTCAAATGGCTGTTAACAATGCTAAATCGAATTATTTATCTGAAATAATTGCTAAGAATGCCCATAGGCCTAAGGTCATTTTTAGAACAATTCTGAACAATTCAATTGATTCTGTCCTGAACCCTACCACAATAGGCTACTCTGCTTCAAGATTTGCGAAAAGTTCCTTGAATTCTTTGTGGACAAAATTCAAGATATCACAAATATCACCACCAGTTGTGGTTTGTTCTGAATCCCTGTACTCCATCTCACTCATTCAGCTGCAAGATATAGTTTCTTCATTGAAACCTACAAATTCTCCTATGGATATCATTCTGTCACGTTTTCTTAAATATATTTTTAATTCGGTTGCCCCCATCATATTGGCCATTATTAACAGTTCTCTGACCAGCGGAGTGGTTCCCACAAGTTTCAAACATGCTGTAGTGCAGCCTCTCCTAAAAAAAACTAATTTGGACCCTGATATCCTAATTAATTACAGGCCCATTTCCAAGTTGCCATTTCTATCAAAAATTCTGGAAAAGGTATTTGTTTTATTTTTTTTACAGTTTTCTTCTTATCTGACTGACTGTAACATGCTTGATACATTTCAATCAGGATTTAAAGCTTTTCATAGTACTGAGACTGCTTTGCTAAAAGTAACAAATGATATCCTGTGCTGCTTGGATTCTGGAGACAGGGTCATCTTAGTTCTTTTAGATCTCAGTGCAGCATTTGACACAATAGATCACTCCATTTTATTAAATCGTCTAGAGAGCGTGGTCAGCATTCAGGGGGTTGCATTAAGTTGGTTCTCATATCTTAAAGGTCGTACATTCTCAGTTAATATGGGTAAGCATAATCCATCCTCAACATTGTTCACATGTGGTGTCCCACAAGGTTCCATTTTGAGTCCTCTGCTTTTTTCTTTATACATGCTTCCTCTTGGCTCTATCTTTCAGAAATATTATGTCTCTTATCACCGTTATGCTGACGATACACAATTTTATCTTCCTGTCAAGTCAAGCAATGGAAACTCTATCATAAATCTATGATTTCCTCCTGTCTGGAGGAAGTTAATAGGTGATTGTCAGAAAACTTCTTAAAGTTTAAATGAAGACAAATCTGAGGCCATTGCTTTTGGATCTTCATTGTGTGTCGCTAATATTGGAAACCAAGTAGGTTCTCTGTCTTTAACACTGCACAACAGAGCCAAGAACCTAGGTGTTGTCTTTGATTCTGATTTATTTGACAAGCAGATAAATTCTGTCGTCAAAGGAAGCTTCTTTCATCTCCGATCCATCGCCAAATTAAAACAGTTCCTCTCAAAGAAGGATCTAGAATTAGTGATCCATGCGCTTATTACTTCTCGACTTGATTACTGCAATTCAATATATATGGGTCTATCTCATTCCTCTATACATCGTTTGCAGTTGGTCCAGAATGCGGCAGCTAGACTTTTGACGAGCACTAGGAAGAGAGAGCACATTACTCCTGTTCTCACTTCCTTGCACTGGTTACATAATCGATTTTAAGGTTTTGCTGTTGGTTTATAAAGCTCTGCATGGGCTAGCACCTCAGTATATTGCTGATCTCCTTAATCCATATTCTGTGTCAAGATCTCTCCGCTCTTGTAACCAATTGCTTCTTTCTGTTCCCCGGTCCCGTTTAAAGATTAAGGGTGACTGAGCTTTTGCAGTTGCGGCTCCTAAACAGTGGAATGCATTTCCAGGTGCCATGAGATCCTCGCCCACATTGGACACTTTTAAATCTACATTGAAGACTAATTTATTCTCTTTAGCCTATGGTGTTGCCTGAGAATATTGGGTTATATAGTTGTTTATGGTCTATTTTGCACACTTTTATTTGTATCTTATGAGTTTTTTATTTGTTGTTGCTTTTGATATTGTTTAATTAGGTTTATAAATTGTACAGCACTTTGGTACAACACTTGTTGTTTTTAAATGTGCTTTATAAATAAAAGTGAACTTGAACTTGTTAGATATCAACTTTCTTAGTATTCCTCAATCTATTAATTATAAACAATATAACAAGAAAAAAATTATAAAGGAATGTCTGTTTTTTTTATAAATTAAAACAAAAAAAGTGTATAGGGTCACTAGCGACTGGAGGTAATAATGTAAGTTTATTTTTCCTGCGCAACAACAATTAAATATCTGATGACCCAATACCTGCAATTCACCTTTTTTCCTTAAGGTGGTACTGCTTGATAAGCCAGATGCTGAATGTACTGGGGAAGTGCACTCTGACAATGACAGTGATGGTAAAATCATTTGCTCAAATTGAACACTTTTTAAGTGTCAAGAGGTAATGAAATATGCGTTATTTTATTCTTTTGTAATTAAAATATCAGGAGAGACTTATGCTATTGCAGCAGTTAGAGATCCATCCGTGCTGCATATATAGGTCCGGGTCGCTAAAGACCTGAATATGTAAGAATGATTGGCGAAACATTCATGCATATAAGGGTTAATATAGTGATTCAGTTAATGTGAATGTCAAACCTCAGTATTTTCAGTTGACAGTGTGGACTCTTTAGTCCATCATAAAGCAGCTTCACTCCTGAATCTTGCAGGTCATTGCTACTGAGGTCCAGCTCTGTCAGATGGGAGTTTGAAGATTGGAGAGCTGAAGTTACAGTTTCACAGCACGTTTCATCAAGACCACAGCCATCAAATCTGCCAAACAGAACATTCATGCTGATTACTTTTTGATGTTCAATGTTTCTGCAATAACTTATTGTACCCTTCATAATCAGGACAGCAAGATATTTTACATCATATTTTGACATTTTATTGTTTAGTGACATAAAATATTTGATCAAACAGCAGTCAGTGAAATTACTCACAGGGCTATTCTGCAGCCTCTCACAGCTGGAACAAGTCTCCTGTAATTTTCTTGTAAGGACGTGAACCTCTTTGGGTTGAACTCATCCAGCACCTTCTCTGACATCAGCAGTATGTAGGTCAGCACTGTGCACATTGAAGATGAGAGTTTTCTTTCTGGATGTTCATTTGAACTGGCGTATCTCTGGATTTCCTCATATAATGAATGATCCTTGAGCTCAAGTAAGCAGTAAAATAGGTTGACCGAAGCTTCATCTGAGATAACGTACCCATCTTGTACTTGTTTAATGTGCTGAATTGTTTGTCTGATGCTCTTTGTGGTGTCTTCAGTGTGTGAGATCAGGCCTTCGAACAGATTTTGACTGGATTCCAGTGTAATGCCCATCAGAAACCGCAGGAACAGGTCCAGATGTCCTCTCTGACTCGTCACGGCTTTAACAATAGCCTTTTGCAATAGCTCCTGCAATGTGACATTTTCTTCTGGCTCATCAAAGAAAAACTGAAGCTCCTGCATGTTCTTGTTCAGGTAACAGATGAACACATGCACTGCAGCAAGGAACTCTTGAACACTCAGATGCACAAAACAGAAGAACTTCTTTTCATGAAGTCCTTTTTCCTTCTTAAAGATCTCAGCTATCATTCCTGTGAACTCGGTGTCTTCACTCACATCAATACCACATGCTCTCACATCTTCCTCTTTAAACACAATGGTTTCTTTCTTCAGCTGTTCAAACGCTAGCTTGGCTAACTTTAAAATCGTTGTTCTGTTTGAATCTAAGAGCTTTGTACATTGTCTTTCTTCTTGTTCATCGTACTTCTGGTTCTTCATGTCCATCTGTATCAGCAGGAAGTGAATGTACATTTCAGTGAGTGTTGTGTCAATGTTCTGTGCATCGTTCTCAATGAGAATATCTTTAAATACTGTGGCCGTGATCCAGCAGAACACAGGAATGTGGCACATGATGTAGAGACTACGAGATGTCTTAATTTGTGAGATGATTCTGGAGCCCAGAGTCTCATCTGTGATTCTCTTTCTGAAGTACTCCTCCTTCTGTTGGTCTGTGAATCCTCGCACCTCTGTGAACAAACCTACATACTGAGGAGGGATCTGATTGGCTGCTGCTGGTCGTGAGGTCACCCAGACAAGAGCTGATGGAAGCAGATCACCTTTGACCAGACCTGTAAACAGCACATCTACGGATGATTTTTGCTCAACAATGGCTCTTTTTGATGCTCTACTTTTAAACTTTAAAGGCATATGACTCTCATCAAGACCATCAAATATAAACGCTAGATTGCATTCCTTATATAGCTTTGTTTTCTCCAGGTCCTTCAGTTCAGAATAAAATTCCAGCAGAAGCTCATGAAGACTGAAATCATCATTTGTCATAAAGTTGATCTCTCGGAATGGAAGCAGGAACACACAGTCTATATTCTGATTGGCTTTTCCTTCTGCCCAGTCCAGGATGAACTTGTGCACAGAGACAGTTTTTCCAATGCCAGCGATGCCCTTGGTCAGCACAATCTTTTTCTCATTTTTTCCCCTCAGTTCAGTAAATATATCATTGAATTTGATTGGTTTGTCCTGTGGTAGTTTGTTCTTGAAAGCATGATCAATCTTTAGAATCTCGCGTTCCTGATTAACATCTTTCATATCTCCCTCTGTGATGAAGAGTTCTGTGTAAACATCCTTGAGATGTACTTCATTTTCTTCTTTGCCCTCAAAAATATGTTCTGCTTTCTCCTTCATGATGGATTTGTGGGTTTCCAAGAATTTTTTCAGAATCAGATCTGTTATAATAGATGATTAAGTTAATAAAACAGGGTAAAAGCGAAAACATTTTAATTTTGTTAAAAACATGACAAAGCTTTTACATCAGCATGATCTCCTCAGAATTCATTTGACATACTGTTATTAAATTCTTTTTAAAAAAACACCAAATACTTTAAATATACAAAGATGGTGCACATATAATATTTGAATGGGAGAAATTGCAACGTGCAATATGGTGGAATTGTCCCACTTCTAAATAAAAGAGCCAAATGCTAATTGTGACCCTGGACCACAAAACCAGTCTTAAGTCGGTGGGGTATATTTGCAGCAATAGCCAAAACTACATTGTATGGGTCAAAATTATTGATTTTTCTTTTATGCCAAAAATCATGTTCCATGAAGAGCTGTTGTAAATTTCCTACTGTAAATATATCAAAGCCTAATTTTTGATTAGTAATATGCATGGCTAAGAACTTCATTTGGACGACTTTAAAGGCGATTTTCTTAATATTTAGATTTTTTTTTGCACCCTCAGATATCAGATTTTCAATTAGTTGTATCTCGGCCAAATATTGTCATATCCTAACAAACCATACATCAACGGAAAGCTTATTTATTCAGCTTGCAGCTGATGCATACATAAAAATTTTGAAAAATTGACCCTTATGACTGGTTTTGTGGTCCAGGGTCACAATTGGTGAAGTCATCGAGTCACTGCAGCTGCACTTATAAGCTCTGTAGAAACAGTCAGCTTTCTGAGACATGCTTTTAGGATTGTGCATGCACAATGGCTGGTCTAGCCAGAAAAATACACTTTTCAATGCTATTTCAGTATACAAAAAAAAAATTTATGAGACACTGGTTGTCAGATTTCATTGTTGATTTCAAATTTACTCATAAGGTTGATGAAAAGCTTTGGAGAATTTGAATTCAAAAAGATAGGAGCTGTACTTGCATGACAGAAACAGCTGCTCGAGAGGCGCTTCAAAGATGGCTGTCGAGTGAAATGACTTGCCTTAAAGGGAATTTGGTAATACAGTCTTGAGGTTTTCGATTTAAGTCACTAAATTTGTCATAAATGTATTACTTTTCATATTTTTTCAATGCCAAATGTGTTAACCAGTACAGAGGATAGGGCTTCAGGAACAGCTGGAATGCACTATTTCTTTGTATATAAGGTATACTGGCATGGCCATTGCTGCTGGTCACATGGTGGTTGGCTGAAGTTTTTTGATGTTAAGGAGATCAGTGGTGCGGTGTGGTTAGATCTGGTGATCACCCCTCACATTTCACCCCGTTCTAAAATTAATAATGCTCTCAACCCTAATCTGTCCAACATGATGAACAACACCACTGCATGGCAGTGTTTACATTTAAAAAGTCATGAATAATCTTACACTAACTGTGATTTGTAAAGTGAAAATTGTGAGGGGGGGGGGGAACATGGTTTTGAATAAACCTGATAAGACTGCACCTTGTTTTTCTGTGTGTTTCTGTGCCATCTCTGTCTCTGAGTTTTTTTGTGGCTCTGTGAGGAGAGAGAAGAGGAGAGTAAAAAATGTGAGAAAAAAATATACAGTTATGTATGTTTCTTGTCCTTTTAGTTATATTTAGGATGTGACTTTGTTCATGTGGCAGTTCTTCATACTGTACATCCGCAAAGACCATTGATGACTGAGAAGCAATCGTTATAGTAAGAGAAATCTAAATCTTACATGAACTTTAAAAGGAATAGGGTTCACAATCACGGAGCATTATTTCATTATCAAGCTATTAACTGACTGCTAATAAGCAGTGTGTCTCAGAATGCATATCTACTGTGATAGTACCATTTACTGCAGTGTTGCAGATGATGGTCACTTGGCCTTTGATGGTGTTTCCAATGAGTGTAGGAGAATTTACAATTGCTCCCATATGAGCATTCACACTAACTACATTGTGAGCACTGCTGCTCATCGGGCCTGGAATACAAACAAAGAGATTAATTACATTTCCTAAATGACAACTTCAACATTACTGATATTCTGTTCTTCATTACCTTGCTTGTGATTCGGCTTTTCTTCATCCTGCTCGTCTAGTGTGTCACAATGCTGCTCAACAGATGCCATCGTCCTTCACTGACTCACTGCTGTTGGACATGAAGAAAAAGGTTTTTAATAGCTACATGTCACCAGACACTTTCTAAAAATAAGTAAGAACTATTTGTAAATAAACAAAATATATAAAATATATTTTGAGTCATTAAAATGTCTCTGCATGGATGTATTATTAAGTATATTTAAAATATAATAATATGGGGCTCATTCACTAAGAATCATGTAAAATATTAAAATGAATAGGAAAAATACCAGACTGGTCATGGCGGAGGTGTTGCAACAATATATAGTAATATTCTCAATGTTACTCAGAAAACAGGATACAGGTTTAACTCATTCGAAAATACTTCTGCTTAATGTTACACTGCAGATATGCAAAAGAAATCTATCGTATCTCTTGCTCTGGCTACTGTGTATAGACCACCAGGGCCGTATACAGATTTCCTAAAAGAATTTGCAGATTTCCTCTCAGACCTATTGGTTAAAGCGCTAATTGTCATAGATTTTAACATTCACGTTGATAATACAAATGATGCATTAGGACTTGCGTTTACTGACCTAATAAACTCTTTTGGAGTCAAGCAAAACGTCCCCGGGCCCACTCATCGTTTTAATCATACGCTAGATTTAATGATATCGCATGGAATCGATCTTACTGATATAGATATCGTACCTCAAAG